ACCAGTCCCTCATCACGGCGACGAGGAGTGGGCAGGCAATGCCTATGGCGGAAAGGGCAGGTTGGCACCACAGCAGTGGTGAACGAGCAAGGCCGTACCAGTCCCTCATCACGGCGACGAGGAGTGGGCAGGCAATGCCTACGGGGGAAAGGGCGAGGTCAGAGGAAGTTCACAACGATACTGACGGTAACGAAAGACAAAAAAAAAGGAATTAAAAAACAGAGAGAGAATGGATACAAGCAAGTATCTGTTTGTTTGTATATTTTTCTGTTTTTTTTTTTTAAGAATGGATACAAGCATGTGCTGAAGGATGTTAGTCCTGGGACAAGCACCACCCTGCTTGTCTCCTTGGATCATTCCATCTCTCCATCTTCATGGCAACTGCAAACTCGTTGACAGAGAATAGGACGATGCCTACGGTCTTCCCCCAAATAGCACATATGGCAATTACAGCTGTGCCTAGACTGAATGTTGCCCCATATACATACAGCTCGGATGTTGGTCCGTTTTATTTGGCTGAAGACAGTAAGCTGCAGGCCAGGCCCAAGTTAGCACAAGAGTACACTGATCATGCACAGCGTGCACAGAAGCCCCACTACCGCCTTCCCCCAAAATAAAATGCAGGGTAATTGTCCTCGTACCCCTCCACACTGAGAAGTTGCCCAAATTCAGCTACTCTCCATACGCCTAGTTTGGCGAGTAGGCGCCTGGTTGCACTTACTCGCGCCAAACTTGGTGCGAGGAAACCTGTCAGAACTTTTGCCCAGTTTCCCTTTTCATTCCGCCACAGACTGTGGCGAGTTCCCAACTCTGTACTGCTGTTTTGTGGAGGGTCATCCTTGTGACCTCCCCACAAAACAAACTTCTTGGCGAGTGCAGCCCTTCACGAGTGGAGATCAGGCAGACAAAAGTTTTTTTTTACTTTTTCTCTGTAGAAGAAACACAGTCGCGAGTAAGTGCAACCAGGCCTCCAGTTCGACACGATTCTAGTTTCTTTGACTCTCCATCTCCACACATCCGCCACAATCTGTGCCGAATGGCGACTAGTGCAACCATGCACCTACTCGCCATACTCGCCGAGTTTGGAAACCACGCACCTACTCGCCATACATCTCCACACATCCGCCACAAATTGTGCCGAATGGCAAGTAGTGCAACTACGCCCCAAGTGCAACCACGCACCTACTTGCCATACTCGCCGAGTTTGTAAACCACGCACCTACCCTACTCGCCATGGCGAGTAGTGCAAATAGGGCCCCTAAAACATGGAAAGATACACCGCCACATGTTTCGTCTTTTGTGCATGTCGAGAGTAGGGGAGCGATGCCCAATGTCTCGGAAAAACTGTGGTTGGTCTTTGTTAGTTGTCAGATGCAACTGTCACGCCTCTCTTCACCGTTCCTCTCTCTCCCTACATACTTGATATAGCAGATCTTTTCAGGCAGCCCACGAATCTAGCGGCCGCAGATGAGACGAATCTAGCGGCCGCAGATAAGACAGGTGTTTTTTTTTTGTTTTTTTTTTTCGGTGAACGAAACCCCTGCTAGTGGGACTTGGCCCTGGCTCCATGTAAATTTGGAGTTGTGTTTACTGATGTAATTTCCTTCCCACTTGGCCCTGGCTCCATGTCAATTTGGAGTTACGTTTACCGGTCTAATTTCATTCCCATTCCAACTCAGGTAGGTCTGCATTTCAACAGTTCATGGGTGTACCAACTGTGGTAGGCCAGTTGGGTCCGATCCTGATTGTCAGACCCATCCTCCTCCACATTTCGACAAACAGACCACAGTTCGAATTCCACTGGACTCAGACGAGCGACAGCGTAGTTATGTTTACCGATCTGATTCCATTGGAATTCAAAATGAGGTCTGCATTTTTTTCATCAGTTCATGGGTGTGTCAACTGAGCTATGCTAGTTGGGCCCATTCTGATTGTCAGATCCATTCTCATTCACATTCCCACCCCCACTCCCATTCCACTACCATCCCTGTTCGGAGTGCCAGTTCCCTTCCCAGTACCAGCCCTGCTCACCTTCCTTTTTTCCCCTGCGAGTGTTCAAGTTCAAAAGGGCGACGACCTTGCAGTATCATAATCCAACTGAAACCGGCTCTAGATTCAGAATTATACTTTCACTCATCTGAGTCGACCCAGGATTCGAACTCAGGTCTGTTTGTCAACAGCTGACGGGTGTACCGTTCAGCCACATGGGCTGGGTGCCCTGGCCACCTTCAAATTCCGACTACAACTCGCATTTACCACGTGCATTGCCACTGCTGCTACTCCCACGTGCATTTCCCACTTGCTGTTCTCACCCATAACCTGGATCTCTCCATTTTCTCTGTCAGTCCTGCACGTAGACAGAGAGACGAGCTAGACTGCCACATGCAAATCCCTACCTGCCAGACCTCAAAAGCTCCCTCTGTCCTACGGGCCTAGTTGCACTACTCTCCATACGCCAAGTTCGGTGGGTTTGGTGGGCAGGTGCCTGGGTTGCACTTACTCGACAAACATGGGGAATGAAAACTGTGTCAGACGGCTCGCCACACGTGCGACACAAGTTATGGCAAGTGTTTTGGGTTTCACCGCCTGTCAACGGCCGTTTGTGGAGGGTGCTCCTTGGTACCCTTCCACAAACCAAATCAGGCAGACATTTTTTAAAAACTTTTTTTCCTGTTTGGTACCCTTCCACAAACCAAATCAGGCAGACATTTTTTAAAAACTTTTTTTCCTGTTGAAGAAATAGTGGCGAGTAAGTGCAACCAGGCCTCCGGTTGCACACGATTCTACTTTTTTGCACTACTCGCCATCCGCCAACATTTTGATTGCATGTGGACATCATTTTTTCCAGATGCATTCGAAATCTTGGCGGATGGCGACTAGTGCAAAGCGGGCCTAACCCTCCGTCAAAAATCCGGTTCTATTCGGTTCTCTCCCCGCCATTTTTCTGTGTCTAACGTCGCGACAACCTAAACAAGGACTTGACAAACTAACAACAAAAGGACTGAGGGCCTCGCCACACCACACCCAACTTGGGAAAATTTTCGGGAGTGCTCCCGGAAGTGAAAACGGAGTGCCTTTCGCCACACTACACTCTCGACCCAGCCGCGCTCAAATTCTGAAAATGTCATTTGGCACATATGGACATGATCAGTGTGAAGCAGTCTGGCAGAAGTCGTTTGTCCATTCCGGCTCCACTCCCGAATCTGGGTTGAAACTCGGAGGAGCGAAGGAGGTCTCTCGAAAAAAAAGCTGTATCCAGCGGCCTAACTCAGTTGGTAAGGCATGCAAGTGGCATTCAGGAGGTCGTGGGTTCAATCCCCATTGGCCCCATGTACCTTCCTGGGCATGCTTGGCGCCCACCACCTAGAGATAGACCACTGGATCCCCCGATCGGCATTGAGCAGAGTCTGCTGATGTTCGTAGGGGAGGGGACCTGAGGGGAGGCACAGGGATTGGTCCTGTTGGCATGGTCCCTGATGCTACCGGCTAGCCGGTATCGCCCACATGCAGGTCGGGAGCAGCCCCCCCATGTTCTCTCGTGAACACGGTTCTGGCTGCTACGGGGTTCCCCGTATGCCTACGAGTAGTGGTAGGTAGGTAGTGTGAGGTGAAATTGAGAGAAGAACATAGCTTTTTATATAAAAGAAAAAAAAGAAAAGAAAAAAAAAAGGGAAAATTTGTCTGGCACCCCTGTATTTTGCGTTATTTCGCGTCGTGCCCCTCTGATGGCCGGTTTACCCTGTCGCACCCCTCTGAGCAGGGTTCAAATTTTCCATAAGACCCTGGTGTCGTTTGGGCCTCAAATCTTTTCATCACGCCCCTACCAGTACTGTCCCTAATTTGCGGCATGCCCCTACCGGATGGCCGTTAAAAGCCAGCGGGAAATTTTTCGGGATGCCCCTACGGGTACCATCCAACTGCCGTTGGAGGCGCTACGGTGTGATCTGAAAGCCATCTCTCTCTCTCTCTGTCTGACTACTTTGCGCGCCAGCAATTTACAACACCTGAACGTATATTTCCACGAACATGGGAAGATTCATTCCCTATTTGCAACTTCGAACTGAGAGAGAGAGAGAGAGAGAGATGCACGGCGAGCTGCGCAGAATGCTGCGGCAAACTCACCGTCACTCTCTCTGAATTTGTAGCGCATCATGCAGAAAGATGGCTTCCCTTCATGAGGGCATATGGCACAGGGCCCGACAGAAATGGGACTGCCAGTCGAAGGAGGGCGTCCTGGAAAGTTGCGGTCACCACCAACAAGGGCCTGCTGAAAATATTTTTTGGCCGAGGGGCGCGACAGGGTAAACCGGCCGTCGGAGGGGCGCGACGCGAAATAACGCAAAATACAGGGGCGCCAGACAAATTTTCCCAAAAAAAAAAGCTTTGCAGGCGGTGAGTTCGGGAGTGCTCCCGGGAGGCACATTCTGACAGCTCCCGAATTCAATCTGACAGCTTGAACTCGGGAGCTGGTGTGGCGATGCTGCACTCCCGAAAATGGCCAAGTCGGGAGTAGTGTGGCGAGGCCCTGAATGTCAATAGACGAATGAGCAGAGAGCACATAGCGAGCGGAATTGTATACACTTTCCTTCTCACGTAGTGGCATCTGGACTCGAACTCCAGTCTGCACTTCGACAGTCGATGGGGGCAAGGCCCGCTATGATTCTCCTCTTGAGTTTCTGGAGGTGCGACTCATCGGCCTTCTCCACCTTCCCCCACCACCCTAAACCCTAAAGCGCGGGTGGAGATGGAGGAGGGGGGACGGCGGGGAGGAAAGAGAAAACACGCAAAAGTAACACTTCACTTCGTTACTTCAAGGTCGCTAAGCCTTTCACTGTGAAGTCCAATTACTAGCAACAAGATGACCTACTGGCTGAAAACCAAACCAAAGTCCAAACGTCCCCCTGGTGATGCCTTTCCTCAGATCAACAAAACGTACCCTCTGCTTCTTTGAACTCACTCCAGGACAATCAACCATCAAAGAGGAAACACAAACTGACAATGACCAAAGCGCAATGTCATCGAAATAACACCTAATACCAGACAAAACATACATAATAAAAGCTCCTTCAGAAAAGGGAAAGCTCCTCCTGCTTTACACCCACGGAACATCCAACGAGATATAAAATGCGAGAGTCCGTACGGCCGCACACGCACACGCGCACACACACACAAAAGACACACACACACACACACACACACACACACACACACAGAGTGCACTTATTAACAGTTTCTTCTTTATTTCGAGGGAGCAGATATCAATGTGTATTGTTCTTTCGTTTACTGGCGCCCTTGTAATCCCCGGCCGTTGGATTGGTTGGTCACGGGTTTCCTTCTATAATACTGCGAAGCAAACTCGACCAACCAAAGTGAGTCGATGCGGGAGACGTTGCGAATGTACAACCTATTAGTCCTGACCATTTCGTCGAAGACAACACAATCGGGTTTCCCGCCAAACATGACCGACGAGGGGTGGATGGAGACCGTCTGCCCACTACCCAAGGCCCTGTACGTTCCATCTGGATGCCTGCAAGCCGCGTTCAGGAAGAACGACGCCGCTAAACATCGCCTGAACGCGGTCAAGTCCTCGCCACAGGACGTCAGACTTAAACCCATACCCTCACAGTACCCTCGCAACTGGTTCCGAACGTCCAGGGCTTTACGCAGAGCCCTAGCATGCACGAAGTGCTGACGGCACCAAGTCACTATGGCCTCTTCAGCACCTTTGCTCCGCTTGCGCTTACCGTACCGCTGCTGCTGCTGCTGTTTATGCGGCACTGCACTCATTTCTCCTCCTCCTCCTCCTCCTCCTGCCCCTCCCACATCCACGTCAACGCGAGAGGTGGGAAGATGAGCACGATCTCGCCGTCCACCCTTGCGAGTCCCGCTCTTCTTCCTCCCCTCCCCGTCCTCTTCCTCCTCCTCCTCCTCTTCACTATTCTGTTTCTCAAAACCCCGATCCCGATCCCGATTCTCATCCTGATTACTACGGAGATCTTGACCTTGACCTTGACCACCTTCACAGCCCCGACAAGCCTCTTCGACGAAGGATCTGAACAAGTTTATAAGCGTGAGGTGGTCTCCATCCTTGCTCACGAACCGCCTCTTCGCCGCCAGCGCCTGCGCCTGCTTCTCCTTGGGACTGTAGAAGATGGAGTCGACGGACAGCATCGCCACAGCGGTTATCATCTCCTCAATGCAGCGGTGATTAGCCGCCGTCAGGATTGCCTTGGAGTACAGCGGCTCCAGAGGCAACTGCGACATCTGCTGGCCGATAGGATGGGACAGCCGGCCTTCGTTCGTGAGGGCGCCTAGAACGTAGAGCTGTTCCAACGACCACACGATCGCCGCCCGCGGGGGTTTATCCATCAAGTCGAACCCTAAGACGTCGTCGATCCCGAGGGCTTTCAGCTGCAAGATGACGCTCGCCAAGCTGCACCGTCGGATCTCCGGAACTGTGGAGTCTTCCAGCTGAGAGAAATCCTCCTCCACGTAGAGGCGGTAACACTTGCCAGGGGCCTCGCGCCCCGCTCGTCCTGCCCGCTGCCTTGCTTGCGCCTTCGACACAGGCACAATGATCAACGATTCCACGCCCACCTTCGGATCGTATGCTCGAGCTTTCACCAGCCCGGGGTCGATCACGTAGCGAATCCCCGGGATGGTTAGGGACGTCTCGGCGATGTTGGTCGCCAGAACGACCTTTCGATGTCCAGCTGGGACCGGATCGAAAACTCGCATCTGCTGCTCGCTTGGCATGGCGGCATACATGGACACAACGACCATGTTCCGTAGCTCGGCCATCGAGCGGGCCTTCTCCTTCAGCGTCCTCTCCAACGACTCGATCTCCTCTTGACCGGTCAAGAAAACCAAGACGTCGCCTGGAGCCTCGCGAAGGTGAACCTGCATCGCCGTGACCATCGCCGCGTCCAAGTAATCTTCCATCGGCTTGGCGGTATACAGGGTCTCCACAGGATGCTGCCTTCCCTCCACGTGGAGAATCCTTGCACCGGCGAAGAACTCTGCAAAACGGCCCACCTCCAAAGTGGCCGACATGATAATCAGCTTCAGAGGAGCGACGCGCCGCTTCCCGCCGCCGACCGTCACATCGCGGCGCCTGCCGTTAACGTCCTGCTGTTCGTCAATTGCACCACCCTCATCCCCCCTACCTTTACCTCCCTTCATCTCCTCCTTTTCCTCCTCTTCTCGCTTCAACTTTTTCTTCTGCTTCTTAGCTTCCTTCTGCGTGTTCCTTTTCTCTCCTGCTCCCTTCTCCTCCTCTTCCTCCTCTTCGCCCTTCCACTTCTTATTCTTCTTCGCGTTCTTCTGCGTGTTCCTCTCCTCTCCCTCCTCGTCGCCCTTCCTTCCCAGGTCTCCCTCGCACAACACCCCCCCCTCTCCCCTAGCGGCCATTTTTTTGTCCTTGTCCTTGCCCGCAACCGCCGCCGCCGCCGCCGAGTTTACTGCTGCTGCTGCATTACCCTCCCCTCTTTCCCCCGAACCAGGCAAGGAGCTTTGCTCCATCATCAGCTTCTTCAACAGCCCAAAGAGCACATCGGTATTGACCGTCCGCTCGTGGGCTTCGTCGACGATGATGACAGAGTACTTGGAAAGACTGCGATCCAACAAAATCTCCCTCAGAAGCATGCCGTCAGTCATATACTTTATCGCCGTTGCTGGCGACGTTACGTCCTCGAAACGAATGGAATAACCGACCTTACCCCCTACATGTACACCCATCTCAGCCGCGACACGAGACGCGACCGAAATGGCAGCAACTCGCCTCGGCTGCGTCACGCCTATCATTCGTCCGGAGCGGCCGAAACCCGCAGAGAGAAGGAACTGAGGAACTTGGGTCGTCTTCCCGCTCCCCGTTTCTCCGACAATAATCAGCATATCGTGCTTCTTTAACTCTTCTACGATCCTCCCTTCTGCACAAGCAATAGGCAGCAGCTTCCTCTGTGCCCGCAAATCTTCAATCGTCGCAACCATCTTGAAATTCTTTACGTGTTGCACAAAAAACACAACTCCCTCACAAAGCACAACCCAGACTACCTGGCACCCTGAGTGAGCGTCGATGCTCTTCCCTTCCTGACACGTAATCTCCTGACAAAACACAACCCAGACTAAGGCCAAGTGCTACACTTGCACCAACACAGCCGGCCCTGAGCTTCACTTCTCTGCCGTTCCTAACACGTATTCTACTGTCTAGTACTACCGAGGACACGTGGCGGCTCGTAAGGTGATGATTTGATAGGAACGCAAAAGATCTGTGTCCTGAGAAAATCGGATCGCTTAAACGTATCCGAGTGAAAACACGTCTCACGGCAAAGCATAAAGAACTGCCGCCGCCCTATTATTTACCTATTTTCCCCAGAAGGAAAAAAATATAGAAACCCCGTAGACCGCGAGAGATGGCACTGTCGAGAACAGAGTCCAGTCGTGAGGAGTGATAGCAGGCCAGATCGTGACGAGGGCAGCATAGCATGCATTCCCAAATGTTCCCATATCAAATCAAACAAACCTTTCGACGTTCATGTCTTAAGCAAAGGATACACGGCCGGGCAGAGAGGGRAGAGGGGGGGGGGGGGGGGGGGGGGGGGGGGGGGGAGGGGAGGGCAACCCAGGCCAGAGGGAAAGAGCAAAACGCCAGGGGAACAAGAGAAACTGTATGAATTTTGTTTTCCTCCTGTTTTACGACGAAAAATATGCTGTAATTTGTACTCGTCAAAGTGAGCTCTTCTATTTCACCAAGATGTGTTCGGCACTGCGAATGCAGAGGCAAAGCAGAGGCAAAGCAGAGGCAAAGCAGAGGCAAAGAGATCCGACACGAATTGAAAATTCCGAAGAACTTTTGAAGCAAAGGACCCTGAAGATTAGTAACGACAAAAACAACAAAATGATTAAGCTCGACAAAATGGTTCAATTTCTAGAACCCTCACCACAGAAGACACGACGACGATAACAAAAATTGCCCATCATTCTCACCATCAACATGCCGCCCTCCTAAGCCGATTGTTCTTTTGCCAAGTCTTGCATCCAGCCAATCAACCAAGCAATCAACCAAGCAATCAACCAAGCAATCAACCAAGCAATCAATCAATCAATCAATCAGGCCAATGACGATCAATCACTCAGTCGATGCCTACCTCGATCCACACTCCACTTCGCTCTGCGATACTACGGTGGCAAACATCCCCCAACCTCCAACGTCCTCTTCCCTTGCCAAAAGTGGAAAACCCATCAGCCGACCAACCAACCCCTCACTCAATCCATCAATCAGTTCAACCGACCCCTCACAGCCCCTCTGACCCGCAGAGTCCATCCCCCGCCAAATATGCAAAAAACTGATCGGCCAACATGTCACTCCATCCATCAATCAATTCCCCTTCCCCCCTGCCGACCCGCAGCCCATTTGACAAACTTCAATTCCGCCGCCAGGTGGCGTGCTGCCCACTCACACGGACTTCAGAAAGATCATTACTCCCTCCTGCTCGTGATGGGAGTTCTCCCGCAGCCTTGGATCAGCGCCGCAGGCCGCCATTAGTTTTGCAGACGAAAGGAAAGGGGGAGCAATGATGGAAGGATGACATTACGAGCCAATCTTCTCCAAAGCTTCGATCATCACGACACTGTTACCGCGTATGACCACCATACCGATCTCGTTCCTCTCATTGCCAACAACCTCTATGGTACTGTCAACGACAAGATTCATGAACTGATCAAAGCCCCTGAGGACGCCAACCACTGTCCGGTTGGCATTGAGTTTGATGTTCAGTTTCTTGTCCATGTACTTCTTCAGATCCGGGGGCTGGCCTGACCTGCTCATGTTGGCAGAAAGTTGATCCTTCCCTCGCTCTCACACAAAGAAAGAGAAGCCAAAGAGAAGCCAAAGAGAAAGCCAAGTCCACCAAGGGAGATGGTAGAGGAGTGAATTGTAATGGACGCCAGCAACGGTCCTCTGAAGATGGAAAGGAATGGCACGACGAAGGAGAGCGAACAGGGCTTTCCGTTTTCCCACGCGCAAGTTGGAGAGAGTGCATCTCAGTACACCACCGAGAACGTGCCGCCTGCCCTCGTCTCGTGCCCAGCGGCGGCTGCGAAACAACTAACCCCGCAGCGCTGCCTACCTTCTTCACCCGACTACAACGTACGGTATTATCGCTGTATCTAGACTCGAAATCGCCCCAGATACAGCTATAATTAATGACCGTACTTTGTATTCGGGTGAAGACGGTAGGCGATGAGCCGTCGCTTCTATTCGTTGCCACTCTCCGGGGCTGCTCTCACGACATACTCATACTCCCACAACGGTGGCGGTAGGCTCTCATGAATGCACCTTCCCGCCTTTTAGGGTACATTCATCTGGAAAGGCCAAGTGGGGGCATCACCTACCGGTCTTGAGCAGTGAGCATGCCCTCTGGCTACGAAGATAACGCCCAACCGTTGTAGTCGAATTTGAAGGAAAAAGGATGCTTGTAAGGTCCCTTTTTCCCTTTCTTGCGAAAATTTGCGAAAAAACCCTGACAGTTCACATGTATGCTAAACTAGCCCTACAAGATGTGGGTAGAGCGGAATCCCCCCTCTGAAGTTTTTTTTCTTTTTTTTTCTTTTTTTGAAAGCAATTGCTTTATTTCCAAAGGATATAGAGGCCGGGAAAACCTCAACATGACAACCCGGAGGAAAAACTGGGGCCGTTACCCAGCTTAGGCTTGTGCTGGAAACCGGGTCCAGCGTCCCTTAAAGCAACTGCTTTTAGAAAAAATAATCAACTGGATTAAAAAAGCTCAAACAGCAATAAAGGAAGGAAATATCTATCCAAAGAACCTAGGAAGTCTGAAGCTAGAATTGTCCAGGCTTACTGCGTTCTGCTCTTTAGAAGCCACTCGGCCAATAAAAGTCTGTCCCCCTCAGCGATTGAGGCCCAAGACCTCTCGTGTGCCCAGGTTTTCGTGAACCAAGAACGGCTTTTGGATCGCCAGTCTGCCTGGATTGTGATACGGATCTCAGCAAGTATTCTGTTGAACACATGATGGATATTCTGTCTCTCGTTCTTGAAGAGGAGTTGGTTCCTCCTCCACCATATGGCTTCCAGAAGAATTCCTCTGCAGATATTCGCCATGTACTTAGGGCCGCTTGAAGATGAGCCGGACCCGTCATGTATGCCTTGAAGGATAAATTTGTCTGTCCATGTGCTGTCTTGAAGTCCTAGCAGTCTCCATCTCTCCTTCCACCACTCCCAGACCACCTGCGAGTGAGGACAATGGAGCCATAGGTGTGGGGCTGATTCCCATGCCCAGTTACAACCTGCACATGTTACAGTTATTTTCATGCCTTTTGAGTTGAGCCAGACTGCTGTGGCTGTAACCTGTAATGGTTGGAGCCACAAGATTGCTGCGTTTCTTTGGGATGGCATTTTCTTCAGGAACTTCCACAGGTTATACAAGTCAGTGTCTTCCACTTGCGCTACTTGTTGTTGGGCCAGCATTTTCTTAACAGTCCCTAGAGGATTCTTTTTCAGTTTACTCCTCAGGGTGAGGACTCCTGTCCTAGGTCTGTATCTCATCAATGGGATCTGCCCCTTGTGGTGCGCATTAGCCCCGGGGATGAGGGGAGAGTTCCATCCGTAGTTTAGAGGTTCAACGCTCAGTGAATCTGTCCTCAGTGGCAGGGCCCTGCAGGTTGGCTTCTTATTACCGGGCATTTCGTGTACCCTGGCTTCTTCCCAGACTTCCGGGTGGTTGATAAGCGATTCTTCACAGTATTTCAGCATCCCATCTTGGCTTATTCTCCGCACTACTTGCCATTTTTGGGCTTTAATACCTGATCTGAGATCCAGCCCCAGTATTTTCCAGAAGGTGTCGGGATCTCTTGGGTCTATTAGCCATGAGCCCGGGGGCCAACCCGCTGCTGGTCTAAGAGCCGAAATCCGATGGGAAGGGATGGCCGACTTTATCTTTACGTAGTTTGCCGCTAAGTTGTGTACCCTCGGAAGCAGGGACCTCAGTCTCTCAAGGGGAATCCAATCGTTGGTCTGTGTGTCCCAGATGTTCTTAAGTTGAATAATGCCTTTTTCTATCCAGGATCTTCCAAAGGAACCCTGGCTGGCATCTGCTTTTAGTTCGGAGTTGTCCGGGAGCTTGATCAAATCGTTCCCTAAAATAATTTGGTTCAAGATTTCAGTTTTTGTATTAGGTTCTGCTATCCTGGTGGGGTGGACCTTGTTCCAGGCTGTTATGATGCTCTTCCATATTGGCGATTTAATTTGTCGATTGTAGAAGGACTTGATGAAGAAGCAGAGCCATACGTGTGTTGGGTGGGACAGGTTCCATTCCCTCATTAAGATGAACTCAGCAAACGCTCTCCAATGTTTTAGTTTGGTATCCTGTATTGCTAGTATTGGCCATTTGGCCAGTAGGGCCAGGTTCTGTTGTCCGGGATCTAAAATCCCTAGACCTCCTTGTTCCCTCGGGAAACAAATGGAGTCCCAGGCTACCTTACTTAGGTAGCCCTGCAGGTCTGTGGCAGATGGTTTCCATAGGTACCTTGCCGCCACGTATTTGATTTTCCGGTATGCCTCTTCCCCTAGCAAGTGGACCGTCAAGGGGAACCAGAGAATAGAGAAGGCTGCTGTTGAGATAACCAGAGCTCTCCCGAAAAGGGAGAGCCTAAAATTCCTTGCCCATCCCATAATACGTGCGGTGACTTTCTCTACAAGGATGGCGTCTTGTGTTGCTGCACAATTAGACAGCGAGACTTGGATTCCTAGGAATCTGTCGGAGCTGTTGGATGGGACTTTCTGAAGGCCCCAATCCACGCATATCTCATAAGGGTCAGGGAGAAGGAAAGCTGACTTCTCCCAATTAATGGACGCCTCCGATAGGTGACAGTATTCATCTAGAACCTCTCTCAAGGCTTGAAAGGAAGGAACTGTGTTGGCACAAGCAATTGTGAGGTCATCTGCCAATGCTCCCCCCTTCCATTGTATGGAGTGGGGGATGCTGAGACCTGCAATGGCATCGTTAGTGCGGATATTGTGCATCAAGACCTCTAGCTGTGGGACAAAAAGGAGAGGGGCTAAGGGGCACCCCTGTCTGAGGGACCTCGTCAGAGGGAAACTAGGGGATAGTCGGCCATTTACTAAAACAACTGATGTAGCCTCAGTGTACATGGCCTTCACCCATGTGCAGAACCCTTTCCCAAAACCCATTTTAGCTAGGGATGTGAAAACGAATGACCATCCTACCTTGTCATAAGCCTTTTCCATGTCCAGTAGAAGCACCGCCACGTTTACTTTGTCTTCGGCCAGTACTTCTAGAGCTTGGATGGTAGACACAATATTGTCAAATATGGATCTACCTTTGACAAAGGCACCTTGTTCTATGCCTATCAAATCGGGTAAGACATCCACCAGTCTCATGGCAAGGGCCTTTGCTAGAATCTTGTATGCCACGTTGAGGACCGAGATGGGGCGGTAGTTCCTAACTTCTCTTTTATCGCCTTTTTTATAGAGGAGTGAAATTACCCCCTTTAGCCATCCTTTCGGCAGTTCCCCTGAGGAGAGTGTGCTGTTGAATATTTGGCAGAGGAATGGGCCAAACGCCTCCCAAGCACAAAGGAACAGTTCAACAGGAAGACCGTCAATGGCCGGACATTTGCCTGTTGCCATGTTTTTGGCGGCTTGAAGGAGTTCTTGCGTGGTGAATAGTTGATCCAGGGCGGCCTTGGTGTTGGGGAGGACTGACGACGGAATACCTTCCCAAAATCTCGACGATGTTGAAAGGTCCCTGTCATGTGGGTCTAGCGGTCTCCTAGTGGACACAATGTCCATGAAGTAGTCCTTAGCGTAGCTGCACATTACTTCCGTGCTAGTGGCCAGGGGTTCTTGAAGGTTGAACGGGTGGTGCAGCTCCCTGAGAGTTGGCTTAGCTTGTCTAAGGATAAGGGAACGGAAAGTCTCCTTAGTCATCCTATCGAACCCCACCAATCCTCTAATTTTGAGCCAGGTCAGCCAGTCTTTCTGCTTTTTAAGCTCAAGTGTCTCAAGGGCTGCTACGTTTTCCATTCTTTTCATTGACCAGAAATGATCGGAAAACGGGTTCTTACCCATGTTACTTTCTGCTTCCTTTATTGCTTTTTTGGTGCAGGTTTCAGTCCAATTTCTGTTGGCTGCCTTCATTCTAGAAAAGACCTTGAGGGCTGCCGTGAGGATTCCCAAACCTGTTTCCGCCCAGGCTTGCTCATTACTAAACAGGTCCTTAGCCTCCATCCATCTAGATATTTGATCCTTGACCCAGTTTGGGATACCTGGATCCTTCAGGATCGACGTGTTTAGTCTGAAGGGAGGTCTGACTCTGTCGAACTGATCCTTGGCTATAATTTCCATGGCCACCGGGTAGTGGTCCGAAAGGTGCTCATTCAACAGGTCACACCATGAACAGCGGTCCCATACCACCCCCCTTGCCAAGAAAAAGTCCAGTCTCCTACTGGGGGGGTTAACGTGGGAGGCCGGTTTGGGGCCATACCACGTATGGCCTGGAGATTCCGGGTTTAAGGTTCTGAATACGTTCGTCATACATTGTGATTCCATGAGGGCAGACAGCATTACCGCATCCGCACGGATGGGAGTAGGACTGGGGGAGTCGAGGCCTGTGTTGAGGGTGGAATTCCAGTCCCCGACAATAATTAAATTTTCTACATCTAGAATAAATGTCGGGAGGGATGCGAAGAAGTTCGTTCTTTCTGAGTACTCCACTGGGGCATACACTGTCATTATTGCCCAGTCCTCCTCCTCTACCACGAGTTTCACCCATATCCATCTGCCCTTGGGGTCGTAGAATGAATCCAAAACCTCTACTTCTAGGTCCTTGTGGATGAGGATGGCCACCCCTCCCTTGGTTCCGTCAGCTGGGGCCCAGAATTGGGGGCCAGTCCACCACCTGTTGCTGTTGGCAATTTTTTCTGAGTTCAGTTTTGTTTCTTGGAGACAAACTATGTGTGGGTTATCGTTGTATACCCAAGAGTTGAACCTTGATCTTTTCTCACGGTTGGAAGTCTCTCCCAACCCTCTAATGTTCGAGCTTACAACCTTAATTCTGTTCGGAAGGACCATCACTGTGGTCGCTGCCGCTCAGAACTTGGATGCGGT